TTGGAGTCGCATGGGGTTAACTTCACTTCTTTTCAGCTAGAGGGCAGGGCCCGTAGATGGTGGTAGTCCTATGTTCATGGCAGGCCAGCAGGTTCTCCTCCCATCACTTGGGGCCAGTTTACACAGTTATTTTTGGACAGGTATATTCCACCCTCTGAGAGGGAGGAGCTGTGGTATCAGTTTGAGCAGCTTGAGCAGGGTCAGATGTTTGTGACCGACTACGAGGTGAGGTTTTTTGAGTTATCCCACCATGAATTAATGATACTTTCTGCTGACGCAGAGAGGGTGCGGAGGTTCGTTGCAGGGTTGCATTGTGGCATTAGGGCCAATATGGCCCGGGAGGTGGAGATGGGGACTTCATATCAACTAGTAGTGGAGATTGCGCGGAGGATTGAGGGATACCGTCTAAGGGGTAGGGAGCAGATACAACAGGATAAAAGGGATAGATTTTCCGGAGAGTTCAGAGGTGCCCCAGCTAGGGGTAGAGGTCAACTTGGGAGGGGTCAGCCCAGCAAATCCCCATATTCAGCACCACCACCTGCTCGGGGTGGTCCAGGGTGCCCCTATTTCAGCGTCATGCCAGAGAGTTCTTATCGCCCTCCAGCTATTCAGGGTTCCTCCAGTGGGTATTCAGGTCCCCAGGTTTATTCAGGTTCCTATTTCAGTGCTATGCCAGAGAGTTCATACTGTCCACCGGCTATCCAGGCTTCTTCCAGTGGGTCTACAGATTATCAAGGTCATCCATGTGATGACCTAATCAATTGTGTGTTTTGAGGCATTAAAAACCTCCTTTTATCTCACCTTGATTTACGTGCGTGGTCCGGATGTATATTCGAAATGCTTTTATGTAAAATTTTAATGAAAATGCTAATTTGCTCTTTAAAATTCAATTTAAGTTAATTTCGGTCAATATTTTGGGTAAACGAACCCGGACCTATGATTTGGCAGTCCCGAAGGGTCCGTAGAAAGATATAGGACTTGGGCGTATGCCCGGAATTGAATTCCGAGGTCCCAATCTCGAGAAATGAATTTTTGAAGAAAATTGTTTGACTGAAATTTTAAGAGTTTTTGGAAATTTAAATGTGTTTGAAATTGATAGTATCAGACCCCTACTTTGGTTTCGGAGCCTGGTATAGGTCTTATATGGTATTTAGGTTGACCCTGTAAAATTTGTTAACAAATGGACTTGATATAATGTTAATCGGACCCTCGGTTGTTAAAATTTGAACTTGAGAGTTATGGAGATTTTTCTTTGATTTTGATGCTAAACTCGTAGTTTCAGAGTTAATTTGGAGATTTGATTGCACGAGTAAGTTCATATATTATTTTTGAGTTAGTATGCATGTTTGGTTTGGAGCTCCGAGGGCTCGGGTGAGTTTTTGATAGGTTTCGGGGTGTTTATGACTTAGGATTTTCTGCTGTTTTGTTGCTTCTAGAGTGCTGATGTATTGTTCTTAACGTTCACGAAAGAAATTTCGTGAATGCGAAGAGTAAGTCAGTCTGAGCGAATTTTTCCTCTACGCGAATGCGAGGCTCAGGATGCGAACTCAAAGCATTGGGGGTGTTAACCTTCGCGAATGCGACCCGGCTATCGCGAACGCGAAGGCCATTTGGCCGGAAACTGGGGAAAGGGATTTTACCCTATGCGAACGTGACATAGGTATCGCGAATGCGAAGGTCGGGGGGGTTAACCCTTTGCGAACACAACAAGCTTCTCGCTAACACGAAGAAGACTTGTCCAGTGGATTAAAAACAGAACCAAAAACGGGAATACACCATATTTTCATATCTCCTTCCCTAAAATCAGACCTTAGGAGATTTTTGAAGAGCAAATTCAATCCCAAATCATAGGTATGTGTTCCTAAACTCATCTCCTTCCTTTTCCATCAACACCCATTAGATTTCTAGGCTTAAATATTGTTCTTCGATGGTAGAAATTAGGGATTTGGGTAGAGTTAGAGCGTTTTGAATAATTGGAATTTATACCTCGTTTTGGGGTCGGCTTTCGAAACTAATTGCATATTTGGGCTCGTAGGTGAATGGGTGATCGGGTTTTGGTTCGAACCTTGAGTTTTGACCAAGCGGGCCTAGGGTCGATTTTTGACTTTTGGGGGAAAATGATAGAGAACCTATAATTAAGCATTGGTATGAATTCTTTAGCATTTATTGATGTTGTTAAATTAATTTGGACTAGATACAAGTAATTTGGAGGCTAATTCTAAAGGAAAAGCGGTGTTTGAGGCTTGAGTTGGCCGTGGAAGTTCGAGGTAAGTGTTTGGTCTAACCTTACCTTGAGGGAATAGGTATTGTGCCTTATTTGCTATATGCTAGTGTAGTATACGACGTATAGGTGTGATGACGAGTATCTATACGTCGGTGTCAAGCATGCCCGTGAGTTTTAAATTGTAATTGTTGTATTTCTTAATAAGTAATAAATTGCCTAAATTGTTGATTCTCTGTGTTGAGCAAGACCTATGATTAACTCGTGGTATTTGTTTATTGTTGAGCATTGGCTCTAGTTGAGGTTTTGATTGTGAAGTCAAGTGTTGATACAAGTTTGGTTATAGCTGATTCCCTTACAGGGACGTACTTAATTCTTACTGTTGATTCCCTTGCCGGGATGTGTTTATTCTTGTTGTTGATTCCCTTGCCGGAAAATTGTTGTTGCTATTGTTTAGGTGAGGAAAGAGTGATAAAGCACGAAGGGTGATGCCATGCACATTCATATTTATGCATTTGGTGAGGAAAGAGTGATAAAGTACAAAGGGTAATGCCGTGTACATTTATATTAATATTGATGCATATGGTGAGGAATAGAGATAAAGCACGAAGGATGGTGCCATGCACATTTCTAATACATATATGGTGAGGAAAAGAGATAAAGCACGAAGGGTGATGTCGTGCACATTTTCATTACTTGATTGCATTGGTGAGGATTGAGAGTAAAAGCACGAAGGGTGATGTTGTGCATTTATTGCCTGTTTATTTTGATTTCTTGTCGCTTCGGTTCAAGTTCCTTAATTGTTTTATTCTACTAGTACTGTGATTCATTATGTTAATGTTTCCCCCATAGCATGTTACCCTTTCCCCCGTTACTTTTGAATTGCCTTTATAACTATTATTCTGTTAGATACTGTCTAGCTGCAGGTTGTTTGGTTGTTGTGTCCTAGCCCCATCACTACTTCGCCGAGGTTAGGCTCAACAATTACCAGCACATGGGGTCAATTGTGCTGATACTACACTCTACGCTCTTTTGTGCAGATCCCGGTATTGGAGCATACGGACCTTAGCTAGGGGTTGCTGCCTTCAGTCCACTAGGAGACCCGAAGTAGTCCTGCAGGTGTCCGCAGGCCTTGGCATCCCCTCCTCATCAACTTTTCATCTGTTCTTTACTATTTCACATAGAGACATGTACTTTCTCGTTCAGACTTTATTTGTAGTTTTCTTAGACAGTCCGTGAGATTGTAACACCAGTAATGGGTAGTTTATGTTATGGATTCGTATTGTTATTAGCTAAAATTGTTAAAGTTTCATTCTTCCGCTCTATAAATTTTCACTATTTATAACTGTTAATTTATAATTGTTAATGGATTAAAAATGAGAAGGGTAAAATAATTGGATTGCCTAACTTACACTAGTAGACGCCATCATGACTCCCGAGGGGAGGGGGAAGTCCGGGTCGTGACAGCCATCAGGGCAGCAGGTCGTCGTGTCGCGGGGTTGTTTTGAGTGTGGAGACCTTGGTCATATGAGGAGATACTGCCCCAGGCTTCGGGGCAAGGTAGTACAACAGGGTCAGCAGCCTATGATTTCAGCACTGGTTGCCCCAGCTATCTTGATATGGAGGTCAGACTAGTAGAGGTCGTCCTAGAGGTGGAGGCCCAACAGGGAGAGGTCAGCCAGCTACTGCTCAGTCGGGTGGAGGCCAGCCAGCCGGCGCTCCAGCCAGATTCTATGCCCTTCTGGCCAGGCCAGATGCATTGGCCTCAGATGCCGTTATAACGGGTATTATTTCCGTCTGTGGTAGAGATGTTTCGTTATTATTTGACCCAGGGTCTACCTATTCATATGTATCAACTCTGTTTGCTCGTTTCCTGGTTATTCCTTCGGAGCCTTTGGGCACTCCTATTCATGTGTCCACAAATGTGGGTGAATCTGTGGTTGTGGATCGGATTTACCAGTCCTGTGTGGTCACATTTTGTGGTTTCAAGACTAGAGCAGATCTCTTGTTACTTGATATGATCGACTTTGAGGTCATCGTGGGCATGGATTGGTTATACCCATACCACGTCGTCCTTTATTGCCATGCCAATACTGTTACTTTAGCAATGCCAAGGTTTCCAGGGTTGGAGTGGAAGGGTTCCACAGTTGATACATCTAGCCGGGTTATCTCTTTCATGAAGGCTCAGGACGTGGTCGAGAAAGGGTGTTTGGCTTATCTGGCCTATGTTCGGGACACCACCGCCGAGTCTCTGACGATTGATTCAGTCCCTATAGTTCAGGAGTTCGTCGATGTGTTTCCTTCTGATCTTCCTGGCATGCCGCTGGATCGCGATATTGATTTCTGTATTGATTTGGCTCCAGGTACCCAGCCTATATCTATTCCGTTGTACCGTATGGCTCCGAAAGAGTTGAAAGAGTTGAAGGAGCAGCTTGAGGAGTTGTTAGCAAAGGGGTTTGTTAGACTAAGTGTGTCACCTTGAGGTGCACCAATGTTATTTGTAAAGAAGAAGGATGGGACCATGCAGATGTGCATTGATTACCGCCAGTTGAACAAGGTTACCATCAAGAACAAGTACTTGTTGCCGCGCATTGATGATTTGTTCGACTAGTTGCAGGGTGCTAAGGTGTTCTCTAAGATCGACTTGAGATCAGGGTACCATCAGTTGAGGATTCGGGACTCAGATGTCACGACCTAAAAATCGAACCGATCGTGATGGTGCTTCTCGAGAAGACATGGCCAGCCGGCACAATTCCCAAATTTAGTTTTACCAGTTTAATAAGTCAATTTAAGTCATTTATAAGGATAATCCCCAACAAGTATAGATTTAGCGAAATAAAACAAGTGTGGAAATGAATATAGCCCGACATCGGGGTGTCACAAGTTACGAGCATCTACTAAGGTCTAAAATACAACGGACTTTCTGTAAATGTACTAAATACAGTCTAATGACATCAAAGGGAGAAAAGTAGTGCTGCGGACATCGGGCAGCTACCTTGCTAAACTCCAAAGACTCTGCCGCTGATCAACCAATACCCGCTACCGGGTGCAGAAATACCTGAATCTGCACATGAAGTGCAGGGAGTAAAGTCAGTACTCTAACTCAGTGAGTAATAATCATAACTAAAGATTGAGTGATAGGAAATCATGAAAGGTACATCAACATGCTGTATAGAAGTGGTACAAAACCAGTAAAAAAGCAATGAAGTTATGAAATCTCTTAAAGCATCTTAGCTGAGTTTAAACTTCTTTAAAATGACTTTTCAACAGTTAAGCAATTGAACACAAAGCAATTAGAACAGATAAGCCCAAAAAAATCTGCCTCTCGGGTACAAATACACAATTAAACAGGTAATGACAGGCAATATAAACAAATCACTAATATAATTAAGCTAGAATAAAATGGAATCCAAGAAGAGAAAAAAAATTGGTGAGAGTTTAACAAAGATATTTTAGAAAATTAGGAAATCCTAAAAGAATTGAATAATAATCCTAGAAAGTAGAAATATATATATAATCCTAGTTAAGAAATCGATTATAAATAAATTAATTAAAAATTTTATATCTCAAAAAGCTATAAAAATAAACCTAAAATAATTTTATTAAATGAGTTTTTAAATATGGAAAAACTTAGGACTTCTCGTTGAAGTTTAGCTTTAGCCTTCGAATATCGTTGAGCCGCCCCTAGGGAAAGGAAAAGAAAATTCTAGATAGAGAATGAATGTGGAAAATTCTGTGTACTTTCTATTTAGCTGAATAGAGTACTTATATAGGTGAGAAAAGGAAATAGGAAAATACAAATGCTAATTACCAAACTACCCCTGTAACTAATTCAACTACTAACCACATAAGCTAACTAACTAATAACCTCAATCACAATACAATACAAATAAATACAATATAACAACCCTATAATCTCAACCTCCCCCCTTCCCCCTCCCACCCAAGTTGGAGGTGAGGAACTCACTGCCAACTTGCCAAAAAGATCTGAGTGCTTGATCCTGTGAGAGCCTTTGTTAAAATCTCAGCCTGTTAATCATGAGTAGAGATATGATGAAGTGTAATCAGACCATCATGCAGCTTGTCTCTCACAAAGCGACAATCTACTTCTATATGATTTGTCCTCTTGTGGAACACAAGATTCCTAGCAATGTGCACAGATACCTGGCTATCACAGAAAACTGGAATAGGATTAATAGATGGAACTGTTAATTCTTCTAACAACCTCTTCACCCATACCAATTCTCCAACCACCTTTCTCAATGATATGTACTATGCCTTTGCAGAAGATAATGAAACAGTAGCCTTCTTCTTTGATTTTCAGCTAATTGGACTGCCTCCAAGGAGCACAAGGTACTCACTTACAGACCTCCTTGAATCAGGACATACAACCCAACCTGAGTCACAGTATGATGTAACTTCATAAGAAGGATCATTGGACAAAAAGACGCCTAGGGTAGGATCAGCCTTCAAGTACCTAAGTATATGTATAGCAGCCTTAAGATGGGGTTCTTTTGGTGCTTGCATAAACTGGCTTAAGTATTGCATACTGTATGGAATATTTAGCCTTGTGTTTGTGAGGAAGTTGAGTTTTTCAATTAAGTTTCTATAACAAGATGGATCAGAGAGTAAAATGCCTTCTTCAGCTTTTAGCTTGGTTGATGAATCAAGAGGGAATGAAATAGAGGAGTACCCTAGACAATCATACTCCATCAACCAATCATTGGTAAATTTCCTTTGGGAAATAAGCACTCCGTCATCCTTGTAAAATATCTCTAGCTCCAAGAAGTAGTGTAACTTGTTTAAGTATTTTATTCTGAACTGATTGTCTTCAGTGCTGTGATTTATTCAAAATTAGTCCCACTGAGGATCATATATTATCAACATACACAGCTACAAAGACTGATGAACCACCCTACCTTTTGTAAAGAAGGAGTAGTCATTGGTTGAGTGTCTGAAACCTCTAGAATACAGGGACTCTATCAGCTTATCATACCACTGTCTATTGGCTTATTTGAGGCCATACAAAGACTTTCTTAACCTACACACAAGTTGTGTGTTCTCTACTATCAAACCCTGTGGGATTTGCATGTACACATTGTCACACCGCCTTTTTACGGAAAAAGAAATTTTTCCACTTTAAGTAACATTTGAAATGAGATTAGTTATTTTATTGGAGTCGCCACTTGGAATAATTATTATGATATCCCAAGTCGCCAAATTATTTTTAAATCCCAAATCAAGGAAAATTGACTCTGTTTAAGGTCTGCGAAACACAGAAGACCGGGTAAGAAATTCTGCTAACCCGATAGAAGGTATTAGGCATTACTGGATTCTGTAATTGTAACGCGGTTGCTTTACAATCTACACTCAGCGTATTAATTTGATTATTACTTATTTTAGAACCTATGTGCATTTCAACCTTTCATCTCATTTAAGTTACTTGTTATGACGTTATGAAATTATCTTGAAACGAACCACGTGTGTGTGAATCCGTTTTATTTAGCGCGCTAAAAACATGTCACGCGTATGTGCACACAATTAATAACACTTAATTATTTGTTAAAATTGTTTGGCCTGAGTAGCGCGAGCGCTTACTTTGATTTTTTGGGGTTCGTAATTATGTCACGCGAACGTATACATAATCACGATAGTAAGTTCAATGCGCGCTTAAAGCATTTTTCGAATATTCAAGGATTGATTAATTTCCTAAAAAACATGTTTGAGATCAAAGGTCTCATAATTAGTGGAATTAATGTGTGGATGATTTGAGTAATTCACAGATTGCAGGTGCATCACCTTTGAAAACCAAAAATGATTTAGAAAACTACATCAATGTGACAAGAGTCTAACATTAACTAAAATCATTTATGGAAGAACTATGTTTATTTATTTATTTGTCTTTTAAACGAAGATGACCTAGGCTAGCGTTTGGAGTGGAAAGGTCATCAATTGAGTTGGATTAACAATCATATTAGGACCTTTAATTGGGTCCATTTATGCAAAGACGAGCTTAGAGGTAAAGCCCAATACATCACAACCCTTCAAAGTAATACACATAAGGCTACAGATTCCGGATGGGCTTGAAATTGAGCCCAAGTAACATAAAATTCAAGGCTGGTTTGACCCTGGGTCAACCAGGCAGCCTCAATAAGGCTGAAGACCAGACCCATTATTTTCTAAGAAAACAAGGCTCAATAGTTCAAGAAGAAATCAATCCATTAAAATATCTAACGTGGTTCAAATTACTTAGATCATAATAGAGATGTTAACTCTAATCTATTGATTAATTACATACTAACACGAACGAATCAGATTTCTAGATTTCAGACACATACTAATTAGAATATTGAGACATGAGATAAATACATCTTTTTATATTCGTTTAACCTAAAAACATCAACTCTAAATCTGCTTCTAACTAGATGAACAAACTGTATTTTAACATGTTGTATATTCTATACTACCGCAGAAATTTTCTCATGAACAAACAACAAACACAACTAAGTACAGATCTAATGATATCATGAGATGTTTAAATGTTGTAAATTATTGTCAATAACACTAAACTAGCTTGTGAGTAGTTTAAATTTGGATTTCAGTTAAATAAACAAAATAAACAGAGAACTGATGCCAACAGAGGCATGTCTATATACAAATTTGAGTAAAAAACAAAGTCATGGAGAAAATGGAACACATATTGCAGCAGCAATTCAGATTTCATGACAAACCAACAGAAACTCAAATTTTTTGACAAATCATAGGCTTTAATTCATGATTCAATACCTGGTTGTGTAGAAAACATTTTAGGAAATGCCAAATAAAGGCCAAAAAAGCAAAGTTTAGTAAATTCAGGAAAGAAAAGCAGCAACTCCCAATTAAATGATATTGAAACAAAAAAAATGAAGATGAACCAACTATAATTCCAACAGACTATCCTTTGTATGCTACTTTCCTTTGTTTTTCTTTGTTTTGTTTTCAAACTTTCAAATTCAGATATGGATTTTCTGCAAGTTCCAGCTGCTACTAAAATGCTTAGGCATGTGAGAATGAGAGAGTATTAGGAAGAGTGTATTGAGGGTGAATATCCGTCCCCAGTATGAATGCAGAATTGGTCTGTTATATAGAAATGCAGAGATTCTTTTTCAGTTATTTTCTTTCTTTTTTCCCCCTTTTGTATTTTTGTTTTGCTCTTTAGTCCCTAACACCCTCCCATTTCTTTTCTTTTCTTGCAAGTTAGTCCCTCTTAGAAGCTTCCTAAATGAATAACTAAGATTCCTTCCTTCTTTGCTTTAATAATTGCCCCTTAAATTCCCTGTTATTTATTGCTTCATCTAGCATTTTTATTATTAGATGGGCTAGATTTAATTAAAGACTTGGACGTCAAGTGTAAAAAACCTACATGCCCAACAACGAAGCCCTGAGTCACCTAGTCAACATCGCTGGCCCTGTTTTCCAATAGGCAAGCTCTAAAATTACATACTAACGCGAAAGAATCAGAACCTAAAATATCTAAACAAACTCTGATGCAATTGACACTAAACTAATCAAGCAATTAATTAAAACAAACAAACAAATCAAAAGGAAAACAAAATTAAGTAACTAAAACATGAGTAACTAAAAACCTAGAATATGTAGATACCAAATTTATCTAATGATAACAGGAAACAAATTCATGGAAGGAGAGAAATAAGATTACCGACAGAAGTGGACATCGCAGGCAATCCAACAGGACTCCGGCAGGCAAAGATTATTGCTATACGAGCACTAGCCGGAGGTTATCCATTTTTGGCCAATGCGGCGTATAACAATAGCCTTTTCAAGTCAGCATAACAACAGGAGGAACGAAGCGGCGAGCTTGGATGGTTTATGGAATTTTGACCATTTTCTGCCGATCATGAAATGGCCAAAGACCGACATGAAATGATAGCGTTCATCTTAAGGATTCGATTGATGTAAGTATCAACCTCAAATGGGCTAAAAATCAGGAGAATCATAAAAGGGAATGTATTAGGTTTTTTGGTGATTTTCAGATCTATTAGACGTGGTAAACGGTGAGGTTTTCGGAGAAGATTATTGTGTATTAGAGACGAGGGAGTGATGGGGATTGTATGGTGGTATTTTGGGGCTGTTTGGAGTGGTGCCGATGCCGTTGGCAATTTCTGATGGTGGCGTAAGGTGGAGTGTGAGAGGGGGGAGAAGAGTGGTATGTGAGAGAATGAGAGAGGTCATTTGGGGGGGGATAAGCTATTCGGACAGTTATATTTTATATTTTTGGCCAGTTTGTTGCCTTTGGATCAAAAAAGATGAAAGGCCACGACTGATAGTTGACCATTCCACCTAAACCGTGGTCGTTTGGTAGTTGAAGGTAGGGCTATGCACGGATCGGATCAGATTTAACATATTTCGAATTCGAATTTCGGATTTCGGATTCTAGAAAATGCAATCCAAATCCGATCCGAATTATATCGGATCGGATCGAATTTTAAAGTTTGGATTAGATCGGATATCGGATCGTATTATTATACCTCAAAGTTAAACTAATATGTATATTTTCTTTGTAAAAGAGGCAATACATTAAGAAAAATTCATGTTTATGCAATTATGAGAGTACTATGGTACCAATATAGCTAAATCTAGCAATTGTAAAGGTAATAACTTGGAGGTTGATGTAAATTAAAGTGTAGTATTTATACATGTCCTAATAATTTCGGATTTCGGATTGGATTGGATTAAAATATACCAATCCGAAATCCGATCCGAAATCCGAAATTTTAATAAACATAATCTGAAATCCGATCAAATCCAAAATCCGAAATTCAAAATTGAATGGATCGGTTCGGATTTCGGATATCCGATCCGAATGAACAGCCCTAGTTGAAGGGGCTGGACCGATTTTGAAGTGGACTGGGTGTATATTTGGCAATAAGATTTTTACCTTCCTATACCATATATGAAACCTTATTACCCTCAATGTTTAAGGTTTGTGTTTATTACATTTCAGCATACCAAATTACCATTTATATACCATAATTAATTTAAAGATATAATTAATTGGCAATTTCTTACTCCTTAATTAAAGGTGTCCATATATCGCATGTTTCTCTCTCCCCTTAATTACTAAGATCTGACCAGCCCGTTCCTCCCCCCCCCCCC